GAAACATATTTGCTTGAATAAAAGTTGTTAGGTATGTTGATGGAAACCTATATCATTGGAGTATTTCACAAACCAAACCTTGATCCTCCTCCTCCTTTAATGTAAGGCATGTCTATGACTATGAGTATGACTTGTGTAGCTTTAAGCATTGAAACTAAATTTATTGTCATGAATCATGATGGTTCAGCCATGTGCAAGAAATGTAACACCATCAATTTCGCTTGAGAGCATGTGGGATTAACGAGATTAAAGACTTGTGATCATGAGATATGATCATTACTAGGTGTTTGGTTCTCTTGTTTTTGATCAGTGCATGTAGTTTATACACTAGTGATCTCCGCAATTTAACATCGATGTCGAGTTGATGCGAAGTTGTGTGCTATCTCCTCCTTCAAAGACAATCCAATGATATGATACATAGTAGGACGGACGCCTTCAGTTACAATTTCCTTACAGAGTAGAAACACAAAATTGGGTTACACATTGCAACACTTCATATACAGCCAAAAAGACTTTACTAGAAACCTTATGAGAAAGATTACACACAGAAAGACACAAGGATTCTTACGTTAACCTTTTATAAATAAGTTTTCAACTACGCATACTTACACGAACCAGTAGAAGAAGACATATATAGTAGCCTTTCTTGCTTGCTTATTCACTTATGGTGTAAACTGAGTCAACCATATTGTTGCTACTTTCCGCTTCTGCAGCACGAAATATATAGACATCAAGATGAAGTGGTTTAGTCTCGGAGTTGGCTGGCTCAAACACACAAACATCACCCATGCACAAGTTGTTGTCTTGTACAAACTTCTTCCACCCAGTTGTAATCCCACCACGACCACGAGCGTAAAAGTTAAACTTTAACTGCCATTTTGTTTGATCTATTTGCATCACCACTTCCTGAGGTTCAAGAGACATGTTCTTCCCGCTCCATTTCTTTGGGATTGTCTGTTTTTTTTTGTTTAAAAAAGAACATAATTTCTTTTCATCCCGATTATAGAAGCATCACGGAGATCAACGACTATAAAGAAAGCTATGGAAGCCTTACCAGGAAACACTTCGATAGCACATGAGAGCGTTTCATGACCACCAAGAGACCATTCGACGAAATGGCCCTTTTAGCCAGAGATAAGGCTTTCGTTTTGGAAATTTCACTTGTACTCTTTCTGCTACTACCTGAAATCATCTCCACATCCTTAACACATTTAACTTTTTAGTATCTAGATGCAAAATAAACGAAATGGAAACTAATAAACCTATGGACTCATTTCACCAAGTAAACTTTCAAGGCAAATAATCAAAGGCTATGGCTAGTATGGGGCAGCTAAATCTTCGGAACAAGAAACTCTATATATAACCGACTCAAGACTCAGTTACCCCAAGCTGCTAATTCAGCAGCATTCTCAAAACATGAAACTCTAATCCTAAACAGTCCAGTCAGATGAAATTCTAGGAAACAACCTCAAAGTGTAATCAATAAGTACAAAAAACAAAATTCATACCAACTTTACGATGGAGATTGTTAAAACTTATTTCTCCTCGCATCTTCTTAAAAACGCCAAGGGGATACTTCCCTTCACTGATTCGCCTGGTACTAGTTGAAGATATTACATGTTTTTGGCCAGATGTTGTATCAATGTCAGAGTTAATATGTTCTTCTTGCTCATAACCGGTCTGAGATACTACAACATTGGGAGTTAGCATTGTATCAACATCAGTATCAATGTCAATGAGGTCTTCAAGCTCATTACCATCTGGAGATATTACAGGTTGCTGGTTCAGTGCAGTTTCAACATCATCAAGGTTAATGTCTCTCTTAAGAGACCTTGAAGAGGTTGCAGTAAAATCTATACCTTTGGTCTTCTCTGCATGTCCACATCTCTTGACGAAATAACAAGTGGGTTTCTCACAAAAGGTATCTCCATCGAAAATCAGAACTTCAAACTCAGACAATCCATGGAACTTGAAGACTAATAGATCATTCTCTACTAGGGAATGATCTTTCACAAACTTTTCCCACCCACAACAAAAAGCTAGTGTCTTTTCATCATCTTCCTCTAACCCCACATTGTATGTAACGCCACTTGGACTTTTGAGTTTCACAATCTTTGGTAGTTTCCTTTTGCAGTGTGTTGAAAACTTTTGAGGTATGGGCTGCAATTATATGCAAAAGGATACATTTTTTAGAGAAAGGACAAAAATTGCTTAAACCCTTTGATGGGTTCGATACAATTGAGTGTAAAATCCCCACATCAAACATAGC